GAGAGAGAGAGAGAGAGAGAGAGAGAGAGAGAGAGAGAGAGAGAGAGAGAGAGAGAGATCAACATACCTCTTGAGATAGTAATAAAAGAAATCAGCATAGAGAGCAGTCTGAACCAGGCCCGAGAGCCAAGCTGCAAAAACAGTGGAGAAGCCATTAAGAGAAATAACCCAAAACAGTTAATGAAATATCAAAAGACTTTAAGGACAAGAATTAAGGAAACAGCTTACGTATCCAGCGAGTCCGGTGACTCTCTGTGAAGAAACGATAAATCCAGTTGAGCAAATATAACAATCGATATGCCCTGTAAAATATGAAAATTAATCATTTACTTTGGGTTCGTGATATGTGTAGGCACGAGCATGCAGATTAGACACACACAAACACCAAAAACATACTTGAGCTCAAAAGTATTAAATTTGAGATCATTACTTTCCTAAAATGCATCACTAGGCTTGCAAAATTATTAAATTTGAGATCATTAAAATGCATCACTAGGCTTGCAATTATCTGGTATGCACAAGCTCAAACCCTTAATGCAGTACTTGAAGAAAAAAAAAAACCGACCCATACCCTTTCTAGTTAAAACAAACAAAAAAAGAGAAAATGAAGAAGAATACAACAAAAGAAACCAAACAAGAGAGCCCCACAAGACCTGAGAGAACACAAAACAAGTTTCAAGAACCACCAAATATGACATGAGCCAAGCATTAGAACAGAACATACCCAAGAAAAAAGACATAGTTTCCAGTTAAGTTGTCTATGTTCCTAGATCTTTGTAGCAGCACTAACTGAGGTAGAATTGCAACTGCTTCAAGGTACAATGAGAATGTCCATAACACCTGTTAAAAAAGAGATATTGTTCATCCAAAATAGAATTTCTCAAAAGAAAGGTACAAAACAGCAAATAAAGAAGCTCTGAGTCTGCCAGGCTAGTTAAATAGAAATAATCTCGGAGTCTGCCACCAAGCATGCTACAAATTTGAATAGAATACGCTCAAATTTGACAAATCAAATCAAAGTAATAAAAAATGTTAGTTCTTTTTTAAATCGTACAAATTACGAGATTGTGTTCATGTGAATGATCTGGAGCTTAAAGGAAGTATCTCAGATTCAACAAATATTCCATCAACAGAAACTATGGAGATAAGGAATATTTTTTTTTTTATAGAAGTTAACTGCTATGGAGATAAGGAATATTAATGGAGGAACCTATAAGCTTTGAAAGGGATGCCCATTTCTCTAAAGATATGTCCCTAAAGAAACTAACTATGAGGTGGATTCTATCACCTGAGACTCTGAGAGGATGGGAGAGGGAATACTCTTTATTGGGAGAACTTTTTCTTCCAATCTTACCTTTCTAGGGCATTTTATTGGTCAAAAAGAAAAGGATGTTCCTTTGGTGGTATCTCAAATGCAACTAAAGATATCCTTAAAAAGAACAGGATGGTCGTGACTGTGCGTGTCTGTGTGTATATGTTTATAGAAGTTCAACAGGTGAGTGCCTTAGGAGATAAATAGCTGCTAAGTTTATGAACGTTTGTCGGGAACATCTTTTGGAAACAAAAGAAAGAAAAATGTCCATGTAATAGAGGTCAAGGAAATAACATAATATGGGATTATTGGGCTCAACACATTACTATGATTTTACACTATTCCATTCTTACACCCATTTTCTGTGAGAATACCATATAACATGGAATTCAAGTTGTGGTGATGTGTTTCATGAGAGAGCAAAACACAGGGATAAAACTCCACATTATTTTTTCAATATCTCTCTCATGGTGCCTCTTTCTTTTCTTTTTCTTGATAGGAACTTCTCGCATGGTGCCTTTAGCCTTCCATATAATATGAGTAGGCAAAGTATCACTTCTTGTCATTGCTATTATTGATACTTTTTTTTTTTTGTGCCTATGGGGGTTGGGTTGGAGGTCTCTCTGGATAGATTTTAGAGAGGATCCTAAATATGTTTCTTGTCAATTCAATCTTTCCTACCATAAATAGATCGGCTTTTTTGTGCTTCTTGTCCTTAATAATCCACATGTGGAGCTCAACTTTCAACCAAGGGAAACAAATTACCCACAAGGGTATTTTTGGTCACTTGTGTTATTATATCGCATAGGTTTTGGGGGATCATACACAATATGGCACTCATTCTAATCCATCATGTATTTTTCTTGGCATGATGATTGTTCTCTCTAACAATGCACATCATCAATGGAAAGAAAGAGGCCCAAGTTTTCAATGTCAGACTCATAGATAGACTGAAGCTGCTACAAGAACCAACAGACAGTTGCTACAAATTGAAAACTATGAACAGACATTCATGTGTGTTTACATTTATTCAGATATTCAACTCTTCCCTAAACGAAGCGAAGTTTTCTCAACCTCTATAACAGCAAAACCTGATTTGATTTTTCTTTTTTTTTGAAGGAAAGTTATTTTAACTTTTAAAAGAATCATTTTTCTTCATAACAACAATTTTCCTCTATACTAAATTGGTTGAGTGATACATGCCAAGAACATATAAATCTCTTCACCAGTCAACTAACCAAAATAATAATAAAAATAATAACGAGAAATGTCTTAACAGGAGATGACGTTACCTCAGTTACTGTGAAAGCACGGTGGATCAGAAGTGCCAGCAAAAAACAAGGTGGGACAAGGAAATAGTGTCTAAAGGTATCCTGATCCTTGTTGTATGTCTGTTTAACCACTTTATGATACCTCATGTACCAAACGATGCCAATCGATGTTCCCAGGAATACAAGCTTCATAATCGTGTTGTACAAGGATATATAGTTTGTGAAGATGTCAAGATACCTTGTAGCAAACACAATAACATAAAGCTCTTGCGTTTTAAGTGATATGCCTGGTTGGCGGAAAAGGAAAAAAGGAAGTCAAGCAAGGAATACATTTCCAAGTAATACATTAAAAACTAATCAACTGAATCACCACACAAAATAGAATTTGGAATTTGAGACCCATATGGAAAAGATGTCTAAGAAGGGAGAATAAACTCCCAAGACATGCAATAAGAAGGAACAAAATAAAGATACAAATACATATGTTACTTCATACATGTGAAAATCCTTAAGCATCACGCCTTTAGCGAAGTGCCAAATCTTACCACCCCAAGTTTCTAATTCAACATCAAGAAAGTGTGTAAATGAGTTCCCATTCAAATTCAAGACTTGCTCTGTATCAAGACTATCAAATTCAAGACTTGCTCTGTATCAAGACTATCAAATTCAAGACTTGCTCTGTATCATTTAGCTAAAGAGAAGGATGTCATTCATATCTTTAAATGCATTCATGTATATCCAATCAATACAAGTTTCCATGCATTTGACCACGATGAAATCTAACAAAAATATTTCCTAGTATTACAGTGGAGAGAACTTCCCAAGTTCAAAAGCCAAACTCCTCGCCATACAAAAGTGCTTATATGAATCAAAGTAAACAGAAATGGGGTTGAAGAATGGAAACTCATGCATCGCAAGAAACTGGAAAAAAAAGAGAAAAATCCACAGTATCATACTAAAGACAACATTCACATCGAGCAATGATCTCATGCAAGTACGACCACAAATTTATGAGGAAACAAGAATCACTAGTTAACATGAGGCTTATGCTGGAAATGATGACTGCATAGTGAAATAATAGAGTGCTCCAAGCTTCTTTGTAATTTCAATTGTCGATAAATTAGAATCACACAGAAAACCTAAACCCACATTATCAAGTGTGAAATAAAAGCACACCAAACTATCACAATATCCACAACCTTTTTTTTTATTATAAAATAGCCTTTACATAAATTAGAATCACACAGAAAACCTAAACCCACATTATCAAGTGTGAAATAAAAGCACACCAAACTATCACAATATCCACAAACTACATAATTGTCGATAAATTAGAATCACACAGAAAACCTAAACCCACATTATCAAGTATGAAATAAAAGCACACCAAACTATCACAATATCCACAACCTTTTTTTTTATTATAAAATAGCCTTTACATAATTAAAAAATCTCTATCTATTGCCAAAGTTCAAATAATCAAACAACAACGAAATTAATCTCAAGCTACTCAAAATCTTTCCAACCCAAGTAACGAACAAAAGAATGAGCTTACAAAAACCCAAGATTTTACGAATTGAGAAAACAAATAATCACACAAATTAGGGGAAAAAATAACCTTTTCGAAGAAACACAATTTTATGATCACTGTAAAAAAAATAAAAAATAAAAATGAAACTATCAATAAAAATGGAGACCATTCAACAAAAGCCCGAGATCCTAAAAACCAACTAATCAGAAAAAATAAGAAAACAAATCATAGAGAAAGTATAAATCTACTAACCAATGCAACCCCAAAAGAATACTAAATAAAAAAAACGAACACTGATACAGAGAGACCCGAGATTTTCTCCCTGAGAGATGATCATAAAAAATGAAATATATAATTCAATCTAAATCAACAAAAAAATATATAAAACTCATTCAAATATGGACAAAATTAGAGAGAAAATCTAAGAAAACGAAGTACCTGAACAGGATTTCATTGTGCGTATTTTCAAAAGCAAAATGATGATGCTGAGAAGATGGCTCATATCCCCGGTCAACCTGAAGATATTCATCTTGCATTTACTGTTTTTTTCTCAGATTCTTCAAGAAAGAAAAACGTAAAGAAAACCCCACAAATTAAACTTTCGCTCTTTTTTGATGAATCTTCTTCCTCTGGAGTTTGATTTGCCCTAAAACACGCTCATGAGTGAAGAAAAAAAAACTGCTATCACTTTCACAATCAGGTGTCTTTAAGTCAAGGACGAAAATACCCTCCTAATTTATTAGAATGAAAGAAAAAAAAGAGGCCATTTACTTTTGGAAAAGGGTGCAACTTTAAAAAGTAAAAGTAAAGATGCACCTCAAAAATCCATGGAAAAAGTCATTTTCATATTATCTAGATGCATAAATATGGGAAAAAAAAAATTAATTTTAAAAATAGTACATCTTGCAATACATTATCGATACTATTGATTTTCAAGATTTTTGTATGTTTATAGATCTACTTGATTCTAATTATTTTTTAAATTGATAATTTTATAAATATAGATAAAAATAGCTTTTAAAATAATCAAATTTTCTACACTAAAATTACATATTGTGATAAAATTTGGAGGTGCATTATAATTGGATAGTTTAAGGTTGCAATTTTATAGAAACCATACTTTTACTTTTTAGTATAAAAATCTTTGAATCACTCTTATCTATTAGATTTAAAATGGAATAATTGTGAAAGTGTCATTCACTAAACCTTAAATTCCTAAAAAACTATTAAATTAAATTTCACAAAAACACTCCAAACCATCCGATTTGATATTTAATAGCTATGGGGAGCTCCTCGTAAAAAAAGGATAAATGATATGCATGTCCTTAAGTAGTTTAATGGATGATCAATATTGTACTATCCCACACAATGACCACCGAATTACTATGGAATCAATGACCATAAAGTGCTCGGAGAATTTTAATCCTCGTGACCACATGAGATAGGTGGGAAAGAAAGTCTTCACCATCCGATGAATAGGTTGGAATGTGGATGGGATCCTCCAATTCTTCAAATAATATTTCGACATGAATCACATTGATTAGAGCCCTAGAGGTAAAAACCCTCGTGACCACTTATTACAGATACGGTCATTAGAATTGGATTAGATATTGTTCCAATTAAATCAAATTGGACCATTTGACTTGCCAGACTAGTGAAAGCATTGTCATCCATCAATTTTCAATTAAATCAGGCTTTTGTTTTAGATCGGACTAGCAAAAATACCAGTTAGCAGTCCGTTCAGGTGGTCTGATCCAGTCTTGATAACTATAGTCATAATGATTACATCCATATTTTTCCCATTGCAAAACAAGTGAGAATCCTACATTCACAGGGTCTTCACTAATTTCCTCTCTATATGCTTTCTGCTGCTTTTCTAGGAAGGAAGACAAGCTAATATGGAGCTTAGAACCTAGTGGGCCTTCACAGTCAGATCATTGTATAATAACATTTATAGGGAGTGGCACATAGAAGACAACCCATTAGTCTCCAAATTTTGGAATTGCAGGGTATCAGGCAGAGTAAAAACTTTCATGTGGATTCTAAGCTATAAGAGAGCCCTCACTATTGACCAGCTTCGCAAGATGGGAATAATAGAATGATACCAGCTTCGCAAGACGGGAATAATAGAATGATGAAGAAACACTTGACCACATTTCATTCACTACCCTTTTTTGTTGATGAGTTGTGGGGCTAGGTCTGTGCCTTATCTAAGTTGGACATGGGTTAGGCCGGAAGGTTTGATCATCTGCTATAACAGGTTGGTCTCCAACTTCTCGACATTGGGTATTGCCCTTTGGAGGAATTAGTGGTTGCCATTCTTTGGAATGTGTGGAAGGAGCAGAATAACAAAACATTTGAAGAACAGAAGAGGGATGTCTATAAATTGTGCTAGGCCATTAGTTGTTCTGTTTTAGCCTGGGCTTAGATTTTTCCACTCTTTAAGGTCATTCTTAAAGAGCTTTACTTCACACACTTAGAGAGATCTTATTTCGTAAAGAGTGGAGACCCATAGATCCACAGCTTGGACACCACCACCTAATGGACGGCTCAAACTCAATTTTGATGGTGGTGTTCTAGGGAAGAATTGAGTGGTAGGATATGGGGGGTATGTTGCGAGACTCGGGAGTCATTCACTGGTCTTACCAAGGTCGGCTCCATCAATGTTATATTAACGAAGTGGAGCTCTGGGCTTTGAAGATTGGTGCCTCCAAACTTCAACCAAATCACATACGACTTATCATAGAAGGAGATTCGGCTAATATGATCAAATAGTAAAGGGAGCCGGATTGTAGACCTTGGTTTTTAAGCCCTATTATGGATGAAGTTATCTTGTGTCTTAAAGGGAGAGAAGTGCAGTCTGCTCATGTTTTTAGAGATTTTAATGCAGATGCCAACTTTTTAGCAAAAACAGGTGACTATGGCCTAGTGCTTCCTCCTCTTCCCCTCATTCCTTTCTCCTTTCTTCCCTTCTTTTTATTTTCTTTCTTTTCTTTTATCTTTATGTGGTATTTCTTTCATTATCTCAATGAAACTTAATGTTTATGAAAAAAGACATGCCTTTTGAAAACGTTTAGTCCAGTCAAAATAGAGGTGCCATTAATTTAGGGTATAAAAATGGGAATCACCAAGGTGCCCCATTCTGTTCACCTTGTCCGACTTGGGGTGATTGTTTAATTGAGTACGATTGAGCAGCACTTAACAAAGAAATTTTCTAAGGAAATCAGGAGTATGAAAGTGGAATCAGCCATGCCAACGATCAACCTACATGATATCCATTATAGAGCTCACCACAATCAAACAGAATAAAACAAATTTGTCGAATTAAACTCCACCAGTACCCAAGGAACAAAATGTGAATTGAATCTACAGGCGGAGGGTTATTACTCATTTTTGCACTTTCTGTTGTATTTGATACAACGGACTTGCACATATATAGATGTTTTTTGAAAAGCGGGTGAGGTTTGCATAAGGTTTTTTGAGAAGGGGGTGAGGTTTGCATAAGGTGTCAATCTTAAAGAATCTAAAGAAGACATCTCTCCTGAAGATGTAATTTTGATGTTCAAAATTTCAATGATGACCTGAAAATCCATCTAACATCTAAATATAAAATTTAAAACTAAAAAATGATATAAATTGAACATTTTTTGCAAGTGTTTGAAAGTCTTGAAATGATCAATCCATATAATATGTTACAAGATGTACTATTTTTATGACTTAAATTTCTGTGTTCTTTTTTTTTTTCTATATTTGCACATCTCATGTTATCATTTCGAGAGTTTTTTAGCATTAGAATAACCTTTTTTGATAGATCGTGCCTTCCTTCTCCAGCATACAGTTCACACTATATGTAAACTTTTTTCCTATGAAAAAACAGATCAAGGTTATATCACTTATTTTTCTCAAATTTCAAAAAGAGATGCACCAGATATCACATTAATATATAAAGAGATACATATATAAATTAGACCACTTACTTTTGATACTAATGAGTAGAAGTTGCTTATCAGGAATAAAAATGAAAAAACTTTTGACATTTCTAGCAGTTTGTACGTTTAATTTAACTCTGTTAATATTTGGTTGTTTCCTTTGTTGCAGGACATCTTCCATTCAGGGGCAATAAAATCTGGAACTGATTTTCAAGTTTACAGAGAAGTTGCAGGCCTTTCTGGTCTTGATTTTCTTATGGAGATGTTGGTGCTGTTTACCACACCAAGGTTTGGAATGCAAATGGCTCGGTATATTGAGAAGTTTAATTCAAGAAGGAGAATCCTTATTCGTTGAATGTTTACTTCATCCAACAATTACAGAGAGTCCAAGCTTAAAAAACCAAAACAAATTAAGAAAAATATTTTAAATTCCTAAAATATTGTCTAATCTTGTTTAATGGAACTAGTCAAACATTAGTCCATTTTCCACTTGACCTAATTTTTGCCATGAACCAGTCTGGATAGGTCCGCTTAGGTCTCATAAATACGGCTTGCGATAGATATCCCAAGAGAGTGTAGCACAGTAAGTCCATACACAAGATCGACAGTAAAGGGCAATCCATATAATCCGATAGAGAGAGGAGTGTGTAAACTCTGCTTGTATAGTGTACACGGAGACTATCCACAAACCATCATCTCATCGTCGACAAAGGTGGAGATGAGGTTGCTGATTCTCTCTATCTCTCACAGTCAACAGAACAACGGCTCATCTCCCCCATCCACACCATCAACTGATAGTCACACAACCAAGGATAAACTCACTGTTGTATCCCGAAAAGCACACCATGTATAGCGTACCCGCCCAAAAAGCATCTTTAAAAAAAGAAAAGCTGTGTCCACATAATGTCCAGAAAATCACAAAGACTCTGTTCTTTCTCAAAAAGAAAGATGCATACCCCAGAGAGAGAGAGTTTACCATAGCTGCTCAGGTCTGACAAATTTGATTGAGCCCAACATCAGGTTTTGCCCGCAACCATACCCAAAAATTGCAACATCCAACGAATATTGTACCAGTAGAATTCAGTGATTTCATAACCATAACCATACAAATGGGACAGAAGAAAAATTCATGGAAAGAAAAAAATACCTACATCTGTCCAGCTCAATGGAAATGGGAATTTACTGAAGCCTAAAAACATATCTCAGCCACAAAAGTTAAGCTTCTTCATCACCTTAGCATAAGCTGCATGGACAAGCGCAGGCTGTCTCAGCCTTCTTTTCGCTTTCTTTGACTGCAAATCCACCAAAAAAAATCCCACTTTATTCCCAATTGCTATTATAGCAAATTAGCAATTTCAACTATCATATGCAAACCACACCATTCAGTTGCCTTCTCTCTCTCCCTCTCTGCACTTATGGGTGCACGCACACACGTGTGAACCCCATAGTTTTTGCATAACCAATTTCACACTTTCAAAGAGGAAAATGTGCAAGCAAGATGAAATCAGGGGTTTTAAAAAGAATGGTACTTAAAAAGTTCGAATCACATATGTTGACGAATGTTATCAAAATTCGCTTCGCTTCGGCCGAAGAGGCTGTGAAGCCTTCAGATTTTAGGCATAAACCGAAGAGAAGCGAAGCTTGGTGCTGCCGCTTCAGTCAGATTCGGACCGCTTCGGGTTTGCTTCGGGTTTATTTCAGGTCTGATTCGGCTAGCAAAGAAATAGCTATATAAATTTATTTAATATATATATATATAT